TTATTTAAAGTCTGTTTGAGACCTGGGAATATGTTAGGCACCAGGGCTGCAGAGGTGACTAGGAAACAGTCTCTACTCTCAAGTTAGTGGGGACACATGATCTATAAAGAACACTTCAGCAAAATTTAGGAAATTCTGTCACAGTGGAATGCCAGGATGCCTGAATAGCACAGAGGAGAGGCATAATATAGTGAAATTCATAGAGTAAGATAGTGCAATGCTGTTTGCCAGAGACTGGAGGGAAAGGGAAATGGGGAAGTATTAGTCAAAGGGTACAAACTTGGTTATACAAGATTAGAGATCTACAGCATAGTTCCTATAGTTAACAATTCTGTAGAGTGTATTTACAATTTGTTAAGAGGATAGATCTTATGTGTTCTACTCACACATAATGGGAAGACAGGAAGAAACTTTTGGGGGTGCTAATAGGTTTATGGCATAGATTGTGATAATAGTTTCACAGGTGTATATCTTCAAACTTATTAAGATTTATATATTAAATATATGCAATCTTTGTGTGTCAATCATACCTCACTAAAGTGGTATTTTTTAGAGAAAAAAATCTTTCAACATCTTTTTTTTTGTGCTTAAACTGAGTCTTAAATAATATATATGTAACTTGTTAATCAGACTTCCAAGTACAATATGCATTGGTTTCAGCCTACCTTTTCAATCTATTTACTTTTACACATAGCATATTTTAGCTGGGCATAGGACTCACTTCTTCCCCTCATAAACCTGATGACTCTCCAGCCCTAGGTGAGTAAACAGTTTGCTTCCCTGTAGGCAGAAGGTGGATCAACCTTATTCAGCTATTGCAAAGAAAGAAAAAGAAGATGCTGGTGAGCTGGGCCCATCTAGGTAAGTCTAACACTGGAACAGAAACTGATGGTCCTTATGTTCCAAAAGTAACTGGGAGAAAACAGTTGTGCTTCTTATAAGTTGGGTACACTTTGCGTCTCACATAGTTCATTTATTCATTCAGAAAGCATTTTCTGAGTGCTTTCTCTAGGGCCAGACACTATTAAATGCAAAAAAACAATTGTGGTAAGAAGTGGATGTATTTCTATCTGTAGTTTAATTAGGGAGTTGGGGGACAGAAATCAAATAACCATACCGATAGACCAATTTTTTTAAAAAAAACAGATGGTATTGGATACAGGGTTAAGTTTTATCCAATGAAGGAATTAATGAATAAATGGATAAATATAATATACTTGATTTTTCCTTTTAAACATTTCAATGGTTTAATAAACCAAACCTTCCTAAATAATTAAATAAAAGTCATAACTCTATTAAATATACAAATATAGCAAATGACAACTCAAACAGCCAATAATCTTTAGTCTTAATAAAATTCTCATATCTTCAATGTAATATTCTAAGTTTAAGCCAATACTTGATTAAAAATTTAAAATTTCAGTTATGAGACTTATCTATCCAATTCCTTAACATTATAGTTTTTGAAAATATGACAAGCATTTTAAATATTAATCATATGCTGTTTCTTAATGCCAAATAATAATGATAATAAGTGTGACTTAATCTTCATTTCTTTGCTAAAATTTGGCCTTTTGGCATAGACATTTAATTGTGTAAGGAAACTATATTTCCCATATCTGGGGACTGCAGTTGCATACTGATTATGGGGTATGTTTGGCTGGGTTTCAGGATTCTCTTATTCCCATTCCCAAACTTTTTTTTTGGATCATGAGCTGTAAGGACATGAGACTGGAGTGGGTGCAGCCGTTTTCTTATCTGGTAGATAAAGTTTGTATGGGAGATTATGAACCTAGCATTTAATAAAATCCAGAGACAAGCAGAGGGCAGAGATGGAGACTGAGACTTCTGACAATGCTTGAGTCCATGGATACAGCTGCGCCTGAATTGAGACCCACCCTAGATCCTCCTAATTGCATGAGCCTACACATTTCTTGTTTGGCCTAAGCTGTTTGATTCAGATTTTCATCTCTCTTAACTGAAAGTATCCTGACATATTTCATAGGCTGTAGTAACCATTATCCTCCTTTATTACTCCAAATCTTCAGAGAACATTTGTTACCCTAAATAGCCTTGAAAGGGCTTGAAGAATAAGGAAGATGGCAGGTGTGGCTGTGGAGTCATCTGCACCAAAATGGTGGGGATTGAGGCAGCAGTATCCAAAGATGAAATGAGCTGCCAATGGAGAACTTTGCAAAATTAGGGATACGGAGCAAATAGTTGCCATGAGGACACAAAGGCCCTGGGATCCTCTGCAATTGGGAGATCACCAGACTTCTTGTGGTTTGTGGAATGGGAAGTCAAGTCATGTTTTTAGAGTATAAGATTGTGTGCACCAGAAGGCTAAGATCTCTAGGTGACATTTTCATGCTTTCTACCAAGATAACAAGTGTTTCTGTTCCTGGCAGTATTGAAGCTTATTATAACAAAAACAGGCAAAACAGTTTACTGCAATAAGGACAGCAGTATAACCAGGTATTGAGCTTGGGCCAGGCCTGAGAAAAATCTTAGACTCAAAGATAGCATATAGATCTGTTGTTTGCTTGAACTGCATTTATTTCTCCTCTGGCAATAGTTCTTCAGTATTTCTTTGGCAATAGTTCTTCAATTATAAGGTCTTACAGGAGCCAGAGGTAAGTTGGCTTTACCATATGAACTAGAAGAGGATTCTTACCTCTGGCTCCTGTAAGACCTTATAATTCCATCTATTTCAGTGAGAGTTAAGCATGCTTGTAGCTATGACTGGTTAAAGAATAAGCCTTTTATTCCAACTAGTATAATAAGACTCAAACCTTTTGCTAGAAGACTTCTTGGAAAAGTAAAGCTCTCTTCTACTGACGACATTGTAAGTCTAAGCTGCCAGGGTCTACCACTTCGGATGGAGGTGATGTGGGGTGGGGAAAGCCTGCTATGAATAAAAAACACACTAGAGAAAGTTTGGGTGGATCCAAGAGCTGGATAAAGAAATTTGCAGCGGAAGTTTTGGAGACCCCGAATCCAGCTGTAACTAAATTCAGATTCACCTGGACTTGTCAGGCACAGGAGCCATAAAATCTGTCCTTTTCTTCCGCCTATCCCTGACTTTTTTTTTTTTCTTGTAAAATCTGGGGGGCCTGATCATTACTGGAGGTTGTAGATAGTAGGCAGAAAGTGTCATTCTTCTGAAGTTCAGTGTACTACATGTGGTTTGCCCACTAGAGGGTGTAGCTCACTTTGCGTTAGGAGCAAGGGATGTTCAGAGAGGTAATGCTGGGAGGCATTTACTATCAGAAAGACCTGTTGAAACGTTGCAATGTCTCAGCTACAGGGCTCACATCACTGAAAGGGGCCCTGTTTCAGAAGGACTTGGAGAGTGGTCAGATGACCAAGGCATGATTACAGGCATAGAAAATAGAGCAGCATGAAGGTGCCAGTTGGAAACTTCATCTTAAGATCCATGAAGCTATTTTTATCTTAAAAAGCCATAAAAAAGAATGAGATCCTGACATTTGCAACAACAAGGATGGAATTGGAAGTCATTATGTTAAGTGGAATTCACCAGGCACAGAAAGACAAATTACGCACATTCTCGCTCATTTGTGGGAGCTAAAAATTAAAACCCGTGAACTCATGGAGATAGAGTGGAATGATGTTTACCAGAGGTTGGGAAAAGTAGTAGGGGTGGGGAAGAGGGGGTGATTAATGAGTACAAAAATAGAATTAGATAGCATGTGTAAGCTCTAGTATTGATAGCACAGCAGAGTGATTACAGTTGACAATAATTTGTTGTACATCTAAAAATAACTACCTAATTGGATTGTTTGTAGCACAAAGAAAGGATAAATGCTTGAGGTGATGGGTTTCCATTTACCTTGATGTGATTACTATGCAGTGTAAGCCTGTATCAAAATGTCTAATATACCTCATAAATTTATGTACTCACTATGTGCCCACAAAAATTAGAACCTTTTTTAAAAGGTTATGAACAGGAATAGGAAATAGGTTTTGTCTTTCGTGTCAAATTTGATGACAAAGCATACTTGGGTTATTATGTTAAGAAAGATTTTGATCTTTCTTAACTTAAAAAACTGCATATATATGAGTTTTGAAATTATACATTTTTTATTGTCATAAATGAAATACACATTTAATATGTATGATTAGGACATATAGAGAGATATAACAAAGAAAATAAAATTAGATTTTTGAGGCCACATCCAGCTTAGTGGCAGTACTGTTTGATTACTGGTATCCAATGTGGGCATGGGGAGAAACACAAAGGTTGGATGTGATAGATATGTGAGATCTATGGTGAGATGTTTCTCAATATGAGCACTATCAGCATCCTGGATGGGTTAATTCTTCCCTATGCAGGATCGTCATTATGACAAGTAAAAGTTAAGTAACCACATACTTTAAATATCTCTTATGGGAATAGTACTGCTCTACTAGAAAATTATTAGGTTAAGCCAGTAGTGACTTGACTGATTTAGATTTGCCTGAGGATTGAACTAGAGCTACTTAAATTCTTCAAAATTAAAAATGAGAGTTTATTTTCTTTAAGATCCTGAGACCAGACTGAGCTTGCTATCTGTAGGGAATAGGGACTGAGAATGAGGAGTGGAATGAAAAGTTTCCACTGAAGGGAGGAAGATACTTATGGTGACAGGAAGCCGGGTTGAACCTGACAGTAGGTGATTAATATGTCATCCCCGGTTAAGAAAAGGGTAGGGGGAACCTTAGCTGTGGGAAAAGGGGTATCTGTTAAACATCAGAGTCATTTGGAGTGCCCTATTGTTGGGTGTTTCTTTTGCCAGGATGTTGTCTTTATATAACAGTTGTCAGGGAGCTGCCCTCTACTCTGTACCTTTGAATCCACTGAATAAGATCCTCCACCATAAGTTATTTTTGGGACAAGTTAACATATGACTCAATGAATAAATACATACATGAATAAAATATTTCTTACTCCTAATTTAAGAGTTCATGACCATCTATTTTCATATTCTTCATGCCCCTAGGAATTCCTGTGGAGAAGGGAGGAAAGGAGCAACAGGAATGATATTATTGCTGCCTTCAACTTTTGCCTTTGTCACGCTCTCCAGGCAAAGACCACCAGGAACAAGCCTATAGTTGAACAAATTGGGCTTATTACTTATTGCAACTTGTGAGAACACACACACCTGGGAGCCATAAGGCATGTCAATAGGAGGGAATTAGACAGGTCTTATTGGTAAGATTTGAGATTGTTAGGTTAATTTGGGGAAAGGTTTAAGGAAAAGAGGCTTTGCGTTGGTTTGAATGCTCTCAGAAATTGGGAGTAATTCTTTAGAAGGGAAGAGTAGCTTAACGCTAAAGTTGTAACTGGCGAAGAAGCAGCAGTCACATTAGTGTAGATAGGTCAATATTTGGTATTTTATGACGTTGATAATGTTCATGTTTTACCTGTGTTTAGATATGATTATTAACTGGTATTATCTTAGTCTGGATTTCTCATAGTCACAGAGTAGCTTTGTCAGACATAAACATTCTATAAAATCACTTATATCAAATGGGAGAACATGAAGGCCCAGATGTAAGTAGGAGGCCAATCTGTACCAATGCTAAGGCAAGCTTCTGCATGCCATGGGTTGTTTTACTCTTTCTCACATTTTATCATGTTGTTTAGTGATCATTTATTTTATTGCTCCCTCACTGGACTGTAAACTGCATGAGTGCACAAACCTGTTTTGGTGACCACTGAAAACTGAGAGTCTAGCCAAGTTTCCCAATTTCATAAGCACTTAAAGTGTATTTACTGAGTAAATGACTGAATTGTCCAATTAGCTGATTAGACTGTGAGTTGCCCAATGTTAGGGGTTACTCCCTATTCAGCTCTGTATTTCTAGAACCAAACAGTTCTAATGCATGTCATTAAATATATCTTGAGTCAAAGAGGAACTTTCCATAGGATAAGATTTATTGATTTTCCTTAAAAATAAGAATGTAATGAATTATGCTTTATGAATGAGAGATGATGCTTAATTCAAATGACTTCGTTCACTAAAAACAAAGAAAAATCACTTTATATTCAAGATGCAGGCATCTTTCTGCATTTTCTATGGTACTGAATATCGAGAGTAAGATTCAAAGCTCTAAGACAAATTGATATAAATATTTAGAAAACATTAATATGAAATATCATATTTCTTGCCCAGCTGAGTGGCATATTATAATCCCTATATTATATAATAATTTTTTGAAAGGAGAGAGAACAAGCCCAAGAGGTGGAGGTTGCAGTGAGCCAGATTGTACCAGTGAACTCCAGCATCAGTAACAGAGTGAGACCCTGTTAGATAGATAGATAAATGGAGAAAGAATTTGATTTGCAAAGTCCTGGCTTACTATTTGTACCCCATAGCTACAAAGATTTGCCTCTCTCCTCACTATACACTTTCACCCTGGAGACATTTCTGATTTGTAATCGTGGTAAAACATCATTTGAGCTTTCAACAAATACATAAACCTGTATGTTAAAAAATAGAGGGAGAAGAAATCAATGACTTGATAAGGTACCTTGGGGAAAATCTTGTCACTTCTTTGAATCAGAATTACCTTGTTGGTAAAATGACCATAATGATGGATACCTACTGAGATAGACTTTTTTGAGGATCACTTTGGATATGCTCTATGAACTGCAAGAATACTTATTATTGAGACAAAAACCATAATACAAGAAGCATACTCATTTTTGGGGCAAAGACCATACTGATTAAGAACAGGATAAACTCAGGAGTTTAGAAAACAAATGAAAAATATCTGTCTTCTTCAGCAGAAATGTAATAACAATAGCAAGCAAATTACTAAATTTTATGTTAATAGTCAATGAAATTTTGCATGCTTATTTCATGTAAAAGTGACCCATTTAAAAAAATTTAACAATAGCCACATAGGAGGTATTGTGAGGTGATAAGAAATATTATTCATCTACCGTAAATACTTCCTATTTGATATTGGGCAAGACAATCAACTTTGGAGTACTATCTTTTTATATGTAAAAGGGAATAGCTCTCCCCTGCCTACTATGTACTATTGGTTTAGGTCTTATAGGGGGCTTGTTTGGGAAAGTACTTTCTAACTATAACAAGTTATAACCATATATTGTTTGTAGTAGTAGCTTGAAAATAATAATAATATCTTATTTTTTATTTTTATTTTTTTGGCACCTAGCACAGTGTCTGGAACTTACTAGGTGTTCATTAAACATTCTTGGGACAAAAGGATAAATAAAAGAAACTGTTTTGTAAAATCCTAAAATTCTGTCCAAAAAAAAAAAAAAGATTCTGATCACAAGATACTGGGAATTTAAACTTATAGGCTCTGGAAGTCAAATTCCTAGATTTGTTAATTGGTTTTTCTCCCTACAAGCTATTATATCTTGGGTCCCTGAATCCCTCTAAGTGTCAGTTTCATCATCTATAAAATGAAAGGTAATACAATTTCAGCTTTGCAGGATTTTTAAAATACTAAATGAGATAATGTCTATGTAGTGCTAAGGGCAGTGCCTGGTATGTAACAAGCACTAAATTGAAGTCAGGCCTATTTATAGGTTTTCAAAATATCCCTCATTATTTATTCTCTTCCGTATTTTATTTGTCTGAGTATATACAATAAATACATTTTGTAGTTAAATTATACTATATTCATCACGATATATATTTTTAAAGTTAATGTTAGGTCATGATTATTTTTTGAAAACTTGATAGGTGATGTCTAGTAAGGTTTTTTTTTTTTTCTTAAATCATATAGAGCTAAAAAAGGATGAACCTGTAAACAAAAAGTTGAAGAGCTTTGGTGTACTAAAGTGGATCAACCTCTGACTGCCCAAAGATGCAGAAACACAGTACCAGGTAGAACTCAAGCTGGGGCAGCAAACTGCAGCAGACCTGCAGCAGAGGGGTCTGATGGTTAGAAGGAAAACTAATGAACAGAAAAGAATAGCATCAACATCAACAAAAAGGACATCCACGCAAAAACTACACACAAAGGTCACTGACATGAAAGACCAAAGGTAGATAAATCCATGAAGATGAGGAAAAAAATGCAAAATGGCTGAAAATTCCAAAAACCAGACTGCCTCTTTTCCTCCAAAGGATCACAACTCCTTGCCAGTAAGGAAACAAAACTGGACAGGGAATGAGTTTGATGAATTGACAGAAGTAGGCTTCAGAAGGTGGGTAAAACAAACTACTCCTAGCTAAAGGTCCATGTTCCAACCCATCAATATTGTGAACATTGCCATATTGCCCAAAGTAATTTATAGATTCAATGCTATCTCCATCAAGCTACCATTGACTTTCTTCACAGAATTGGAATAAACTACTTTAAATTTCCTATGGAACCACAAAAGAGCCCATATAGCCAAGACACTCCTAAGCAAAAAGACCGAAGCTGGAGGCATCATGCTACCTGACTTTAAATTATACTACGTGGCTACAGTAACCAAAACAGCGTGGTACTGGTTACAAACAGATATATAGACCCATGGAAGAACATGGTATGGGTTACAAACAGATATATAGACCAATGGAAGAACAGAGGCTTCATAAATAATGCCACATATCTACGACCATCTGATCTTAAACAAACCTGACAAAAACAAACAATGGGGAAGGATTCCCTATTTAATAAATATGTTAGAAAAACTGGCTAGCCATATGCAGAAAACTGAAACTGGACCCCTTCCTTACACCTTACACAAAAATTAACTCAAGATGGATTAAAGACTTAAACATAAGACCTAAACCATTAAACAAACAAAAGAAAAACTCAGAAGAAAACCTAGGCAGTACCACTCAGGACATAGTCATAGGCAAAGACTTCATGATCAAAACACCAAAAGCAATGGCAACAAAAGACAAAATTGACAAATGGGATCTAATTAAACTAAAGAGCCTCTGCACAGCAAAAGAAACTAAAAAACTATCTTCAGAGTAAAGAGGCAACCTACAGAATGGGAGAAAATTTTTGCAATCCATCTGACAAAAGGCTAATATCCAGAATCTACAAGGAGCTTAAACAAATTTATAAGAACAAAACAAACCACCCCATCAAAAAGTGGATGAAGAATATGAACAGACACTTTTCAAAAGAAGACATTTATGCATCTAACAAACATGAAGAAAAGCTCATGATCACTGGTCATTAGAGAAATGCCAATCAAAACCACAGTGAGATATCATCTCATGCCAGTTGGAATGGCAATCATTAAAAAGTCAGGAAACAACATATGCTGGAGAGGATGTGGAAAAATAGGAACACTTTTACATGGTTGGTGGGAGTGTAAATTAGTTAACCAATGTGGAAGACACAGTGTGGCAATTCCTCAAGGATCTAAATCCAAAAATACCATTTGACCCCACAATCCCATTACTGGGTTTATACCCAAAGGATTATAAATCATTCTGCTATAAAGACACATGTATACTTATGTTTATTGCAGCACTATTCACAATAGCAAAGATTGGAACCAACTCAAATGCCCATCAACGATAGACTGGATAAGGAAAGCGTGGCACATATACACCACAGAATACTATGTAGACATAAAAAACGATGAGTTCATGTCCTATGCAGGGACATGGATGAAGCTGGAAACTATCATTCTCAGCAAACTAACAGAGGAACAGAGAACCAAACACTGCATGTTCTCACTCAGAAGTGGGGGTTGAACAATGAGAACACATGGACACAGAGAGGGGAACATCACACACCAGAGCCTGTTGGGGGTGGGGGACTAGGGGAGGGATAGCATTAGGAGAAATACCTAATGTAGATGATGGGTTGATGGGTGCAGCAAACCGCCATGACCTGTATACCTATGTAACAAACTTGCACATTCTGCACATGTATCCCAGAACTTAAAGTATAATAATAAAAAAAGAAATATGGTTTCTATATGTAAATAAAGTTATCACTAAAAAAAGAATCTTACCACTCACCAATAAAAAGATAAATAATCTGAGTAAAACGTAAGCAAAGGATTTGAGTAGATATTTCTTCAAATGGCTAATAAGCCTTTGAAAAGATATATGACATTATTATTTACTCCCTGTTCCCCTATTCCCTCAGGCTCAGCCAGTGGAACTGAGATTCCAGTGACTTTTCTTTTTCCTTTTTAGTTTACAGAATCACATTTTGAGGAATTCACAAGTATTTTCCGAAACAGTAAATAGTCGATTACAGTCAGTTACGTTAGATTCTTTATGTTTCATGCTTTCATTTACATATTAACGAAGCATTGCATGCAGGAATTAGGGATAAATAATGTTATTAGAAGTGCATAATGGGCTGATTCTTATGGAGCATATGTTTATGTTGTGTAGACTTCTTTTGATAATGACTGTACTGAAGGACCTAAAACAAAACTTACATGCAAAAACTTTATCCTGAGAATACTGAGTCATTGTTTTATATAAGGAGAAGTCTCAATCAGATTTGCATTTTAGAAAGTCCATCTTCAAGGTTATAGAGTTAGAGCAGGGGTTAGCAAACTTTTCCTGTTAAGAGCCAGGTAGTAAATAAATATTTTATGTAGAGAGTGGATAATGTAAAATGTCTTTTAAACCTCAAATATCAAAACTATATTATCTTAAATTCAGCAACCAGAGCCTTTGGGGTTGCTGGGATTTCTATTTTGTGGGACAGCTGAGGCTATATAGCCCACATCCTTGGTTGTGTAATGCACATCTGCAATTCGTTAGGAAAAAAAACATTCTGAGAAGTGAGCAAAATGACTATAACTACTGTCTGGGAATTACTATAAGCACTATCCAGGTGCCTCTGGAATCATTTTGGTTCATCAAATTCTCCCTTTTAACTGTGGTGTCTGGAAAAGGATGCAATTTATGGTCCCACTTTGGCACTGGGTATACTTTATAAAGTCCTCTGGGGATTAGGATACTGGAATTATAAGAAACTACCAGGTTTATATTTTCCTAAATCTTCCTCTTTTATTTTGCGTTTCTCAATATCACCAGAATTAGAGGACCTTGAATATTAGAATTATTTTTCTATGAATGGGAGGAGGCTTGGAAAGTTTACAATTGTTATATAATGAGGAGATTAGGAATGAGCTACACAGTCTCCTACTCCCGTAGTTCAGATTGTGGCGTATCCATTTCTCTAGTATGTCAGGCTACAGGACTTCACTGGCTCTCATCACAGCAATGTTTCCCAAATTTCAGTAACTTTGTTTATGATTCCTTTCAAATTCATGTGTCATTTTTCTTTACAAATATTGTGCTTTTAATTGGCTCACTTTTTAAATTTGCCTACTGATCTTAGATTTGTCCTAAATGTGAATGTCCATGATATCCTTGGTTTGAAGTTATAAACATCGTTTTTTCTAACAGATTAAAGAACAGCTGCAATTATTGAAGTGAAAGAGATTCATTGGCATATTAACTTAAGTTATTATTAATACTATCAGATGGCATTCAAATCACTCTTTGGAGAAACACTGTATGTTAGCTCCTTTTTTAATGATTTAGTCTACATGATATAGACTTGGAAAAGCTTTACCAAAGACTAGATGCTTTGCAGAGCTTTTAAGAGATACAAATAACTTTGAAAATTGAATATGTATATGGAAAGAAGAATATTTAATTAGAAGGAATTACATGCACCAAGACACAAAACTGGAATAGCATGAACTCCAAAATAGTTTAAACATTAAAGAAGTTATCCTTTTAGGTAGAAAGAGTCTGGGTTAAGCGGGATGGGCATGGTAAAACATGCAAAAAACTTACCCTGAAAATACTGAGAGTCACTGTTTTAAATAAGGAGAAGTCTCAATTAGATTTGCACTTTAGAAAGTCATTCTCAGGGTTGTAGAAATTAGAGCAGGCATTAGCAAACTTTTCTTATTAAGAGCCAGGTAGTAAATATTTTATGATTTTTAGGTCATTTGGCCTTTGTTGCAACAACCCAACTCTTCCAGCTTGAAAACGGCCATAGATAATGTACTTAAAAAGTGTGCCTGTGTTCCAAGAAAACTGTATTGTCAAAAACAGGTGGCTATAGTTTGCCAACTCCTGAATCAGACTAAATGCAAGGAGACCCCTCGATGGTATCTAGATGCATTAGATCCATATCACAACAATATAGGCAGGTAACGAGGAGGACTTAACCTAGGCAAAAGTATTGAAGTTAGAAAGAAGAAAGAAAATTCGTTAAAAAACAAAAATTAACAGATTGAATTGTCAGTGGTATCTGGGGAAGGCAGGAGCAGGAAGAGTCCGAGAGATGAGTCCTGATTTTCTGAGTACCTATTTTGACTGAGGTATTTAAATAGAACTGTATGAAGTTGCCATTATGTAGACTGGAAATGATCAGATAGTGGCAATTTTATATGTTCAGCCTAATAGAAATTCTGTAAGGCTAAGATTAGAAAGATTATTCTTATGCAGGAAGTGGCAAAATTACCTTAAAGGGACTATTAGCAAAAATATCTGAAATAAAAATATTTAGAATAGAAGATTAAATAAAACAATTCAGTGTTGAAATGTGAATAGCTAACTAGCCCATTAAGTAAGCACAGATAAATTAGTAACCATGAAAGTCATGAAAAAATAAGTGGCTTCTTTATATACACTGTTTATCCTGCCACGTCTTCTGTTTCCCAAACACTGTTTCCTTCTTCTCCTTAACGTCCTACCTGGAAATTCAACTTTATCCTCTTCCTAGGTTTAATGTTGACCTTAGGCAGTGGGTGTTTAAACTCAAGCGTCATCCTCTGGGGCTCCGTGGTATCGTCCATGCTGAGCTGTTCAAACATCTCTTAGTCTTATTTTAGAGAGAGGTTTCATTCTTCATAATCATCCCAGTTATTTATTGACAGAAATCTTAGATAATCTGCTATTGTTTTCAGATTATTGCACCTTGAATGTACCCCTTTTCTAAAATCAGCCAGCATACAAGGAAGCCTCTTTTGCTTGGGACCTCTGTGTCAAAATCAATTTACCCAAACTATTAACACTGTATTTAACCTTCATATTTTGTGTTTTACTTGAGAGCCTTGACTTCTTTCAGCTACTGCAGCTGAGCTTTCTCCTTGCCTCCTCATTCTACATGTACCATTCAGCTAGCAGATTCAGTCTTACATGGGCTTACCTTATTGGTGCCATTTTGTTGGTGTTAATTAGAAACAGCGGAGTCCTCTCTTGGAATTCGCTAACATCTGGTGGTGCTCTAATAGTAAGCCATGTAAAAAGCTGACACTGCTTTGCATTTCAGTGTACAGGCTAACATAACAAAATACCAGCGTGGGAGATTATGATGGGAAATAATTAGGAAAAAGAGGGAGCAGAGCCAAAATTGGTTATCAATTCAGAAGGCCAAACTATCAGTCAGATATTGAGTACAACTTTCATAGATCATTCCTTAAAATATCTCAGTTCTGAGCTATCTATGGCAGAATTCTTGGAATATTAAAAAAAAAAGGATTAAACCACTGATAGTTACTCTATTTAAGTTGGTGAATTTTTCATCTCTGAGAAAAGTCTCAAAGTTTCAAAGATTACAACCTCTAGAAAGCAGTTGTTGGCTTGTTACTTCCCCTAGACTATCAAATGTGTATTCTTTCCCCAAGATTCTTTAACAAATACTTACATGAAAAATAGCCAGTAGCCAAGATAACCACAAAGAATGTTTTCATCTTTTTTTTCCATAAGGAACAGTGATTCATCCACCTGAGTTTTCTTCATCCAGAGTTTTCTAGCAAAACCCTAAAGGCTGAGTTCTCTTGATGAATCTAAGGCTATGGTTCTATTGTGAGAACCTCAGACCCCATTATGAAGTCACCTGGCAAGTAATCTATTTACATGTGGCACTTAAGGCAAAGTCACCAGTTGTCTTAGTCTGCTCTGTGTTGCTATAATTGAATACCTGAGGTTGAATTTATAAATTTATAAATAAATAGATTTATTTAGCTGACAGTTCTGAAGGCTGGCAAGTTCAAGGGGCATATGCTGCCATCTACACAGCTTCTGCTGAGAGCCTCAGTCTGTGTTCACTCCTGGTGGAAAATGGAAGGAGAGTGAACTTGTGCAAAGAGGTCACATGTTGAGGGAGAGAGCAAGAAAGAGAAGCTGAGAAAGTCAAACTTTTAAGTAACTAGCTTTAGGGAAGTAATCCATCCCCAGGAGATCTAGAACTCATCCACCCCTGAGGGAGGGCATTCGTCTACTTATAAGGTATCCACTCTAATGACCCAAACATCTTCCATTAGGCTTACCTCCCAAAACCACCACAAAGGGGGTCAGTTTAAACATGAATTTTGGTGGGGACAAATCACATCAACACCAAAGTATCAGGTCATCAAAGACCAAGGTTTCCAGGGGGAAATATTTCATCATTAGAAGTCTATAGAACTGTGGTATGACAGCATGATTTAACATTGTTTTGTTTGATGGTTTGATTATTATTCAGTTCCATGGAAGTACATTCTGCTTTTTATTTTGCAAGAAACAAATGTGAAAAAGATTAACTTAGTATGAGTAATTCTGGGGAAGGTTTTCAAAATTTACATGTTTGCCTTCTAATTCTGCTCCAGCAATGTCAAGATTCTTATTTGGTAGATACAGAGTGTGACTCAGAATTTATATATATATATATATATATATATATATATATATATATATATATATATATATATATAAACACACACACACACACACACAGAGTACAGTGCAGTGTTTCCTCAGTATCTGTAGGCGATTGGTTATAGTACCCTGTAAATAACCAAAATCTGTGGATGCTTAAGTCCTTTATATAAAGCGGCATAGTATTTGCATATGACCTTCACACATCTTCCTGTATATTTTAAATCATCTCTAGATTATAAGATAGGTTTGAACTTCATGGATCCACTTTTATGCAGGGTTTTTTTTTTTTCAATAAATACAATCAGCCCTTTATTTCTACAGACTCCACATCTGCAACCAAACTTCAATTGAAAATATAGTATACAAGGCCTACTTTGTATATGCAGGTTCCACAGGACCGACTACAAAAGTTGAGTTTGAGTGATTTTGGTATATACAGGGGTCCTGGAATCCTGAAGAATAATGAGGGATGACTTTACTTATATCTAATATAATGTAAATGCTGTGTAAATATTTGTCATATTGTATTTTTTACTTTTTAAATTGTTTTGTTATTGTTTTTATGCTTTTTTTAAAGAATATTTGATGCATAATTAGTTGAATCCTGGAATCTGGAGGGCTGCTTTGTGTGTCTGTGTGTGTGTGTGTGTGTGTGTGTGTGTGTGTGTATTTGAATTGAGTAAGGAGATTCTGATTCACCTCTAATCAAGAAATGATGAATTAGGGAACCACAATTTTACAACAAATGGCTAATTTTCTAGATCTTTTTCTTCCTTATTCCCTAAAGGCATTTGTTCTATCAGAGCAAACTCTTTATCTTTTGTTATCATGTTCATTCCTACCTCCCTAGACATAGCACCTACTATCTTATATTTAACATAAAACACATTAAATAAATAAAAAGAGGCATCCATGGAAAATCAAGGCCATTATGCACAATTTCTGGTATAATA